TTCAGTGCAGTTCACCTCGGGTGAAAGGCGATCGTGTTTTTTTTGTTTTTCTTTTTTTTTTTTTTAATATATATTTTTTTATTATTTTTTTTAAAAGATGATAATAGGTAACTCAGTTGCTCTGAATTTCACTTATAATTATAACCTATTTAAATCACAGCAGAACTCCCGCTGGTGCGGAGTTCAGAGTTGCATACAATACAGGAGATCACAGTTTTGAAGTCTAGCACAGATTAAAAACCACAGATGTACCATTTATATAAGACACACACTGATTGTCTCTTAAAAACTACATATTGACTCCTTATGAACATTATCGTTTTTTTTTTTCTTAATCTTTAAATAAAGTAGTGCAGCTAGGACAATCAGTCACACAACCCACACAGCCCTGAACCAAGTTCTCTGGGTGCCAACTTGAGCAAGTTGGGCGTGAAACAGTTGGATGAGCTCAAGAGCGAGAGAGAAAGAAAGAGGGAGGGAGAAAAAAGAGGGAGAAAAAAGAGAGATGCTGTCCATTCCAAATATTTTAACCGAGGGTTGGCTAACACATTGGAAACCTCTGGGTGAAGGATCTTTCCACGCACACACAAAAAAAAAAAGAAATAAAAACCTAGACTTTTTTTTTCTTTTTTTTTTTTTCTTTTTTTAAAACTGGCCCATAGGCGGGATGATCTCCCACCTCTTCCAAACAAAGAAACCCAACAGTTGCCTAAAACTAGAAAGAACACAGATGGGTCTGTCTGTTTTCTGCTCACTAGATGATCTGTCCGTTTAAGGCCATCCTCCTCCATTTTTCCTCTTGTATTATTCCTTTTCCAGAGCGCCTGAGCAGGAGATGAGTCTGAACGGGATCACACCAACACTGTCCCCCTCTCTTGTCGTTGTTGGGGTTTTTTTTATTGTTGTTTGTTTAGTTTGTCCATTGAGTTTTTTTTTTCCTCTTTAATTTAACCAAGACCTGACTAAAACTGGAGCGTTCAGCCCAGCGTGTTCGTTCTCGTCGTGATTTCTCTCAGTATCAACAAAGGTTCTTCACAAAACCTGGAACTTCCATGACGATGTCTGGTCCTTATAATCCAGGCAGTCAGCATTGAAGTTTAACTTCCAGGAGGCCGTTTGGTCTTTATAATCCAAGCAATCGGTGGTGGAGTTAAAGCCCAAACTGGATGCTCCATAGCCCTGGGTGGAAAGGGATGCTGGAGACTGGTTGAGGTGACTGGTGACCGCGTTGGCACCCATGGGACTCAGGGTGGCACCTGGTCCAGGAAGCTGGTGGTGCATAGGTGTCAAGTAAGATCCACAGTCCATTCCTCCAAAATAGGAGGTCGAGCCAGCGTATCCTTGGCTGTAGCCTGATGCTTGGGTGTAGGTCATGGGATAGGATCTCTGCATGCAGGAGGAAGAGGTGGACAAGGGGTCTGAGAGTGGGGAGATGGACGCTGGGCTCCAGATGGATACGGGGGCACTGCTGCTGGAAATGGTGGGGACTGAGGTGCTGGAGGGGGGAGTGAATTGCCCACTGGTCCCGCTTTCCGAATTCACTTCCCGGGCTGGTGAATTCTTCTTTTTAGCCGGTCGTACCTTGTTCTGGCCCCCGTTCTGCTGCTGCTGCTGCTGCTGCCGGCATTTAGCCCGACGGTTTTTAAACCATACCTGGAGACCAAGAGATGGGGAGGGAGAGAGAAAAAAACTGGTATTAGGGATGCACAGACAAACTCAAGGGGGGAAAAAAGATGGTGGCAGGGAGACCTCACAAGGCAGGGGGCACTAAAAGTGTTTCCCGGCGAGCAGAGGGTTGCAGGATGCTGCAAAGAAAAGCTCCGCGGCTCCCCCTCCCTGAGATCATTAGCAGTAATAATAAGTGGAAATGGGCAAATCAAACTGCTTAATAAGGTCACTTTTGGGGGAAAGGCTGGGGGGGCCACTGCCTATTTGCTGTTTGCCAGCCGGGGACCCCCAGGAACCACCATTTAAGGCCGATTGAAGTCAAGCCCTTAATTAGAAACAATAAAGCATCAGAAAGGGAGGGAACGATTAGGGGGACAGAGGCAGTGGTTGGGGGGGGGGGTAAGATGCCTCATTTACCCTCTAAATAGACCCTCTGCTCTCACCCCCAGCCAGGGCCAGCCCCCCAAACCCATCTCACACTTTTTTAGGAGGGACTAAGGGGGCTGTCTCTGGGGAGCGGGGATGCTGTAGAGGTTTCATGGGGAGAAGGCTGAGATTTGGCATGGGGGGATCGGGATTTGGCATGGGGGGATCCCAGTCCCCAGCCACAATGCTCTGGTGGGGCACGGCACCACGAAGCCTCAAGAAGCCCCTTAGGGAGGCAAGTGGGGGGGATGGCTTTGGAGTTGCCCTGCCCTGGCTGTCGGGGGGTCCTGGATCTGTGCCAGG